TCATTTATACAGTCAAGTATTTCTTTCCTGCTCTGTCAAATAAGAGGAGCTTCTTCGCCTTTTGAGTCCTGCTCTCGATCTCCTCGCCACAAAGAAAGCAAGCAGCAACCATGACTTTCACGTGGGATACCGATAGTGTGCGTGTACGTATACGGACCGACATTACGTCAGTTGACCACGTGTAACCGCATCCGGTTCACCCAGTTTTGGGTGAAGCAGAACGAAGAAGGAATGCTCAGTTGACCAGACCCTCCCGGAGGCACGGAGGGTGTGGTCTGGCTACGCGAGACTACAGTTTCCGACAGTTTCTTATTTTACACGAGACCACGAGATATTTTTATAGCCTTAATAACTGCTGCATGTATACAGCCAGATTTGCTGCATGTAATCTATAAACCTAGTTAGCAGGGGCATACCCAATGCTGAACAAATGGTCTCTATGATAAGGAGCATCTATACTTTTTATACTTTTACGAGGAGCATCTATACTTTTTATACTTTTACGAGGAGCATCTATACTTTTTATACTTTTATAAGGAGCATTTATACTTTTATGTTCAAATGTATAGTCTATTTTGCTACACTTTGATTTTCAGCAAACCATAAACAGTAAAATGACTGCTCTTCATAGACAGCATTCATTAATTTAGAACTGTGCTCAATCACAGTCTATTGAAGTCCCTGTTGGTCAACCCAGTGTCATGCTTGCTGTCTCTTCAGAACATTATCATGATGCCATTTCAGCTGTATTCTGTGTCATTGACGCCATTAAAGCATCTACTACAATATGGAAGAAGGCATGTCCATCATTTGTGTTTTGTAGTATGTAGTCCTAGAGTACTACTATATAAACCACAGTCTTATTAATGGTTATTTATTTTAACACCTTTATATATATATATTGGTGGTATACCATTTGTATGGCTTCATCTATATGCATTCACTTGGTTTGTAGGAGGTGCATGAAGATGGCGAGGGTCAATGGAAAGCCAACAAGGAGTGCAAATGGCTTAATGAAGATAAAAGAGTACCTTAGAAATTAATTTTTAATATTTTTTCACTACTATTTATATTTATAAATTTCAATAGAGTCTTGGTTCATTTAGCAGCAAATGTGCAAAATCACTGCTCAGTCTGTGGTCGTTCCTTTATCCACTTGCTTATGTTGGCATCAGCTTCAATGTTCTTCCTCAGACTAGCGAGTCCAGAGAAATTTGAAAGCACTTCTGGATGTCCCTTTAAGACATAATCCAGAACACAATAGAGCTGGAGATCAGGCCACGTCAGACGACCACAGCAAAGATACCCAGTGGAGGCTGTCAATTCGTTCAGCTTTCCAAAATATTTTGGAATTACTTCCTCAGCGAGACGTTTCTGGAGCTCTTGCTTTCTTGTCTCGTCTTTTTCATAGTGGACTTTGACCAGCTCGTTACCAAAATCCATCATAAAGTCAGATATGTTAGCTAGATGGGCATTGTCCCATGCATTAGACCCAGCCAAGCCATGCTTCTCTCCCAAATATCGGAGGATGACAGTACTGCCTCCAAGCTTCTTTCCATCTTCTTCCAGGACGGGCATGACTCCAAATGGGGTGTTTGGCTTCTCCTTCTGCCAGTCTTCTCCTGCTAGGCGAATGTCCTCATACTTGATCTCTTTGTGTGCGAATAAGAGTCTCACTGGCTCTACTGCTCCTCTCATTGGGAAATAGAAAAGTTTATAAGTAGCCATGTTTTTCTGAAAAACGATTCTGAGTGCAACTTTCTTCTTTCACACGAGACCACGAGATATTTTTATAGCCTTAATAACTGCTGCATGTATACAGCCAGATTTGCTGCATGTAGTCTCTAAATTTAGTTAGCAGGGGCTTATCCAATGGCCAATGCTGAAAAGCACCAATACATTTCAAACCGAAATGGCCCGTGATAGGGAAAATTTTTATGCTTCATGTTCAAATTTTGCTACAATGTGGTTTTCGGCAGACCATATGTAAAATGGCTGGGTAGGCATTGGTATAGTATTCATTAGTAGACTGTGCTATCTCACAGTCTATTGAAGTACCTGTTGGTCAACCCAGTGTCATAGTTGCCGTCTCTTCAGAACTCTGTCATGATGCCATTTTTGAGCTATATCTTATTCTTATATCATTGATGTCATTATTACTCATTAAGGCATCTAGAATACAATATGAAAGAAGGCATGCCTAGTACTTGTGTTTTGTAGTACAAGTAATTTGTTACTTCAGGGAATTTCATGTTATATAGTAGTTCTAGAGTACTACAATATAAACCACATTCTTATCAATGGTTATTTATTTTAACGCCTTTATATCAACTGTGTACTGATGGTGGTATATCATTTGTGTGGCTTCATGTATATGCATTCACTGGGTTTGTACGAGGTGTATAAAGATGGTGAGGGTCAATGGAAAGCCAACAAGGAGGGCAAATGGCTCAATGAAGATAAAGGAGCACCTTAAAATCATATTTTTTGCTGCTATTAATAATAATTTTGTTTAAAAGAAAAATGAAAAAAGGTGTACTCAGGGAATAGGAATCAATAGTTACTAATCACAATAGTCTTAGTTTGTTTTTAGCAGCAAAATGTGCAAAATCAATTCTCAGTCTCTGGTCGTTCCTTTATCCACTTGCTCATGTTGGCATCAGCTTCAATGTTCTTCCTCAGACTAGTGAGTCCAGAGAAGTTTGAAAGCACTTCTGGATGTCCCTTTAAGATATAATCCAGAATATTGTAGAGCTGGAGATCAGGCCATGTCAGACGACCACAACAAAGATACCCAGTGGCGGCTGTCAATTCATTCAGCTTTCCAAGATATTTTGGAAAGACTTCTTCAGCGAGACGCTTCTGGAGCTCTTGCTTTCTTGTCTCATCTTTCTCGTAGCGAACTTTGACCAGCTCATTGGTAAAATCCTTTATAAAGTCAGATATGTTAGCTAGATGGGCATTGTCCCATGCATTAGACCCAGCCAAGCCATACTTCTCTCCCAAATATCGGAGGATGACAGCACTGCCTCCGAGCTTCTTTCCATCTTCTTCCAGGACTGGCATGACTCCAAATGGCGTGTTTGGCTTCTCCTTCTGCCACTCTTCTCCTGCTAGGCGAATGTCCTCATACTTGATCTCCTTGTGTGCGAATAAGAGTCTCACTGGCTCTCCTGCTCCTCGAGCTGGGAAATAGAAAAGTTTATAGGTAGCCATATCTTTCTGAAAAACGAATATGAGATTCTGAGTGTTTCTAACTGCAAGTTTCTTTTTTCATACGAGACCACGAGATATCTATGTTTTTATAGCCTTAATAACTGCTGCATGTGCACCATTATACATTTCAAATGGTCCCATGATAGCAGGCCCGTAGCCAGGGGGGGTTCGGGGGGTTCGGACGAACCCCCTGTTGTAGCTGCAAAAAAGTTTTAGATTAGCTCCTGTCATGAAGAACAGCACTGCAAAAGCAGGATTAGCATTTTGGCAGCAGCGAGAAGCACAGATAGCCATTTTAGCTGGTCAGCACATGGCTGAGACGTACGCGTAACTTAAGACCACGCCTTAAGACCACGCCCATTTTCGTTTAAATTTTTGATGCGCGCTTCGCGCGCAGCAATTTCCGAACACCCTATTTCAAGTTCCTGGCTACGGCCCTGGATAGGGACCATTTTCATACTTTATGTTCAAATGTATAATCTATTTGTGCACCTGGGCAATTTTGGTAGACCATATGTAAAATGGCTCCAAATGCATTGGTATAATATTCATTAGTAGAACTGTGCTAGCTCTCTCACAGTCTATTAAAAGTCCCTGTTGGTCAACCTAGTGTCATGGTTGCCATCTCTTCAGAACATTGCCATGATGCTATTTCAGCTGCATCTTATGTCATTGACGCCATTAAGGCATCTACTACAATATGGAAGAAGGCATGTATTTGTGTTTTGTAGTACAAGTCTAATAATTGTTACTTAGGGAATTCCACGTAACATATAGACATTATACTGAGAATAATTCTCATGCTGGTTCTGTATTGTATGCACATTGTGGTAAATATCTATAGATGTACCGGTATATGTCTCCTCTTGGTTTGTTGGAGGTGTATGAAGATAGATAGTGAGAGCCAATTAGTGCTGGGCGATATATCAAAACTCACGATATTTAATCGATATAATGCGGTATCGATACTTATCAATATCGAAAAAATTTGAAGAAAATATCGATAACGAGGCCACGCCCACAAAATGGTTACATAACCTTAATAAATGGTTAATTAACTATAGGAGTAACATCTCAAAAATTACTAGAATGTATTTTCTTGGAAAGTAGATGAAGTAGCTGAAGTATTATGAAGCCAAAGAATGTTTTTATAATGTTTTTCAATAATAATTGTTCTCAGAAATAGCTTTATTTAGCCATTTTAGTAATATTAAAGTTAATGGGTGTGGCTTAATAACTTATCGATAAAGAATATCGATATCCTCATTTTTAGGCAATATCGTGTCATATCGTATCGTTTCAAAATTTTCAATATCGCCCAGCACTAGAGCCAATGGAAACCCAACCAGGTTGAGGTACTTTATTTTCATTGCTAATATTTATAATAAATTTTTATAGAATTGTGTAGCTAGCTATAAATGAATGAGCAAAAAGCCTACAGAATAGTCACTAATAATAGTCTTAGTTTATTTAGGAGCAAACATGCAAAATCAGAACTCAGTCTCTGGTCGTTCCTTTATCCACTTGCTCATGTTGGCATCAGCTTCAACGTTCTTCCTCAGACTAGCGAGTCCAGGGTAACTTGAAAGCATTTCTGGATGTCCTTTTAAAATAAAATCCAGAACACAAAAGAGCTGGAGATCAGGCCATGTCAGACGACCACAACAAAGATACCCAGTGGTGGCTGCCAATTCGTTCAGCTTTCCAAAGAACTTGGGAATCAATTCCTCAGTGAAACGTTTCTGGAGCTCTTGCTTTCTTGTCTCATCTTTTTCAAAGTGGACCTTGTACATCTCAGTGCTAAAATCCTTTATAAAGTCGGATATGTTGGCTAGATGGGCATTGTCCCATGCATTAGACCCAGCCAAGCCATACTTCTCTCCCAAATATCGGAGGATGATAACACTGCCTCCAAGCTTCTTTCCATCTTCTTCAAGGACTGGCATGACTCCAAATGGCATGTTTGGCTTCTCCTTCTGCCACTCTTCTCCTGCTATGCGAATGTCCTCATACTTGATCTCCTTGTGTGCGAATAAGAGTCTCACTGCCTCTGCTGTTCCTCGGCCTGGAAAATAGAAAAGCTTATAGTTAGCCATGTCTTTCTCTTTCTCAAAAAGACTGAAAAAGTGGTGCCACGAGATATTTTAATAACCTTTAATAACTGCTAGATTTGCTGCGTGTATGTAACCTATAACTACTGTAATAGCAGGGACATACCTAATACTTAAGTGCAGCAATTATACATTTGAATGATAGGGAGATACTGGTAGATCATACTAGATACTTGTGTAAATGTCTAGTCATTTTGCTGCACTTTGATGCAATTGGTATAGCACAGTGCTCATGCAGGTTCTCTTTAAAGTTGTGGCTCAAAATTTGATTGCTGTAGTGCAATGTAGTTTTTAAAATTTGTGTGGCTTCATGTATATGTTTCCTTTTGGCTTGCAGGAGGTGTGTGAAGATGGTCAGGAACTAAGGATCAATGGAAACCCAACAAGGTTGAGGGAGAACCTTAGAATTATTTTAATTGCTAATAACTATAATAAAATGAAAGGCTACATGATGAGCTATGATGAGGAAAAGCCTATGGGATCAAGATAAACAATAAAAATTAGCTCAGAATCATTGGTCAGTCTCTGGTCGTTCCTTTATCCACTTGCTCATGTTGGCATCAGCTTCAATGTTCTTCCTCAGACTAGTAAGTCCAGAGAAGTTTGAAAGCACTTCTGGATGTCCCTTTAAGATATAATCCAGAACACAATAGAGCTGGAGATCAGGCCACGTCAGATGACCACAGCAAAAATACCCAGTGGCGGCTGCCAATTCGTTTAGCTTTCCAAAATATTTTGGAAACACTTCCTCAGCGAGACGTTTCTGGAGCTCTTGCTTTTTCGTCTCGTCTGTTTCGTGGTAGACCTTGACCAGCTCATTGGTAAAATCCTTTATAAAGTCAGATATGTTGGCTAGATGGGCGTTGTCCCATGCATTGGACCCAGCCAAGCCATGCTTCTCTCCCAAATATCGGAGGATGACAGTACTGCCTCCAAGCTTCTTTCCATCTTCTTCCAGGACGGGTATGACTCCAAATGGCATGTTAGGCTTCTCCTTTGGCCAGTCTTCTCTTGCTATGCGGATGTCTTCATACTTGATCTCTTTGTGTGCGAGTAAGAGTCTCACTGGCTCTCCTGCTCCTCTTATTGGGAAATAGAAAAGCTTATAGCTAGCCATGCCTTTCTACTTGAGACTGAAAACGAGTGGATGATGAGTCTTCTTCCCTAATTACTTGGCCTAGGGCTTAATTACTGCATTATAAAACAGGATATCCATTACCCTCAATATCTACATCAAAAAATTAATAATAATACTAGACGAATGTAAAACATTGAAGGGGCGAGCCTAAGCAAGTAAAGCAATGTACATACAATAGATATTGACAGACTAACAATACTCATGACAGTGCAACTTAAGCAGCTCAGAACTTGATTGAGTGCAGTGTAGTTCTTGACCTACCTTTGTAATCAAATCAAGTTTAGCAATTGGAAAGGCAACTGTAGCAATGTAGTCCAAGTTAGTTCAGGCTTAGACTGACATTCAAAGTCGTTCACATCAATAAAGATGGCATGCATACCGTATAGCGGAAAATTTTCGTGGCCCAAAATTTTCGCGGATTTCGCGTTTTTTTCAAAATCCACGAAAATAAAATCCGCAAAAATTGATTTTATACGGTTTAAGATGGCCGAATTGTAGAAAACCACGAAAATTAAAAGCCACGAAATTGATTTTTGGACGGATCCACGAAAATTTTGGACCACGAAAATTTTCCGCTATACGGTATCTGCTTTCTTGACATTCCTTGCCGTTGCTTTGGACAGTAGTATGCGAGTACAGTAAGTTGAATTATCAGCAAAAACAAGTTTCATAGTTACTTTATTGCATCTATAACCTTTCCTGGCTGTTGGAGAAGCCTTTGGACAGAATTTCTGTCATATTTTGCTGCTAGAGCCTAGAAAACTCATGACTTTTCCCCGTGTGTTGGTCGCCATTTTATTTCATTGTGGCCACTCCCATTTTTAATGAAATATTGAAAACTGAATTTATATACCCTTTTCAATGCATAGCATCTACCGTATTACGCATAAATAGGGGTGACGTACGTGTACAGACAGACAGACCATAGATGGACAATGGACAGACAGACAAACATACTCATCTCGTTTATGTGGGGCTCGCTCAGGCTCGCCCCAATTAACTAAAAATTATAAATAGAGGTGACGTACGTGTACAGACAGACAGACCATAGATGGACCATGGACAGACAGACAAACAGACTCATCTCGTTTATGTGGGGCTCGCTCAGGCTCGCCCCAATTAACTAAAAATTATAAATAGAGGTGACGTACGTGTACAGACAGACAGACAGACCATAGATGGACCATAGACAGACCATAGATGGACCATGGACAGACAGACAAACAGACTCATCTCGTTTATGTGGGGCTCGCTCAGGCTCGCCCCAATTAACTAAAAATTAATTTTAAAAAAGATCATTCTAATAGATCTATCTAAGAGTACAGAACTAAAATAGATAGTTTAACAAGTTAAAATGGTGTCTCGGGTCGTTCCTTCAACCACTTTGCAACATTTTCGTTGGCCTCCACGTTTGCCTTAAGCTTGTCCAAATTTGGGAACATGCCTTTGACTCCTGGAAACTTCTCGTCCATACCTTGAAACATATGAAAAAGCTGGAAATCAACCCAAGTGAAGCTGTTACCAAACAGGTAGCCATCGGTTGCGAGCTCATTGAGCTTTCCAAGATACTTGGGGACCAACTCCTCCTGCATTCTCTTTTGCAACTCTGCTTTTTTTGTCTCGTCTTTCTCAAAATGTAGCTTAATAGCTTCTGTCAAGAAATCATTCGTGAAATCAGATATGCTCGCAATTTGAGCATTCTCCCATGCATTGCTACCAGCAAGACCAAACTTCTCACCCAAGTAACGCAATACAACAAGACTCCCTGCTAACTTCTTTCCTCCCTCTTCAAGGACTGGCATAGATCCAAATGGTGTCTGGGGCTTGAATTCAGTCCACTTCTCTCCTTGTAAACGTATGTCTTCATACTTGATTCCCTTGTAGGCAAAAAGAAGCCTAATTGCTTCAGCTCTGCCTTTGCCATTAAAGTAATAAAGCTTGTATTCAGACATCTTCTCAACTATCGAGTGAAAAATCTCCAAGGGCAAGGGCTGAAAAAATTAGAGGTCAGAGGAGTGAAGTTGTCACCTCTAGATCATTTTGATAAGAGCACGAGATAAGCAGGGGTGTGGCAACTTGCATGTATTTATAATAATTTTAAAGCAACAAAAATGTCAGAGACTTCAAAATTGACTGATATGCACATACTCTGGTGGGATGATTCAAATTTACATAACAGCTATTCTTGTTATGTTACTCTAATAGTAATTAGCTATTGATTATTGTTCTACTACTACAAAGTTCTATATATCAGTTTGTGGTCGTTCCTTCAGCCACTTGGCAATGTTAGGATCAGACTCCACATTCGAAATAAGTTGCAAGAGACCCGAATAACTTTCAAGGACTTGTGGCCTTTGCTGTGCAATCCCAATAATCATATAATACAAAAAGATATCAGGATAGGTGAGTCTATTACAGCAAAGATATCCGGTGCTTGTAGCCATCTCGTTTAACCTTCCAAGGTACTTTGGAACAGTTTCGGCAATGAATTTTGCATCCAGTTCCTTTTTCTTATCTTCGTCCTTTTCAAATACGACTTTAATGAGTTCATTTGAAAAGTCGTTAACAAAATCAGCAATATTTGCCAGCCAGGCATTCTCCCAAGCATTGCTTCCAGCAGCACCAAATTCTGGCTTCTCAGCCAAGTAACGCAATACAACAAGACTCCCTCCTAGTTTCTTTCCTCCCTCTTCAAGAACTGGCATAGATCCAAATGGTGTCTGGGGCTTGAACTCTAGCCACTTGTCTTTAGGTATACGTATGTCCTCATACTTGATTCCCTTGTAGGCAAAGAGGATTCTGATTGGCTCTGCTCTGCCTTTGAATGGAAAGTAATACAGCTTGAAGTCAGACATGTTCTTTTTAATTAGAGCCCTTAATAATCTTATCTGTCTTATACGCTGTGGTTAAAGTGTGGTAAGAATAAATGGACGTGTTGTTTTAAGAACAGCATATAATTTTTTAATAAAGAAAATTCTAAAAAATCAATCAATCAATCATAAATATAGTTATAGAGCAGTTACCTAAGCACACAACTAGACTATTACTAAGGTTAAAAAAATCAATTTCACTGTAGGCTCAAAGTCCAATGCATCTAGTAGGCAGACTGGGGACGGTCCTTAATCCACTTTGCAATGTTGGGAAGATTTTCTATTGTAGTCGTCAGTTTCTTCAAAGACGAATAGTTGTCCAAGATATTCGGCATGACTGCAACAATCCACTCATAGAGCTCATAAAAGTAAAAGTCGACCCAGGTGAGCTTGTCTTGGAAAAGATATCCACCGGTGGAGCAAAAGCCATCCAGCTTGCCAAAAAAATTAGGAACTTGGACCTCGGTGAAATCCTTCGTTACTTCTTCTTTATTGTCTTTGACACGGACAAGCTTTAATATGGCATGCTCCAGGTCTTGAAGAAAATTGGCAACACCAGCAATCTGTGCGTTCTCTATAGGATTGGCCCCGGCCAGATTGAATTCAGGGCGCTCGGCAAGATAGCGAGGGATTACAAGGGAACCTGTGATTGAATGCTCTCCGCCATTGAGCTCAAGAGTTGGCAGGAACCCGTACTGGGTGAGAGGCTTGAGTGCTGGCCAGTCTTTGTTTTCAATTCGTTCATCAGTGTATGAGACTCCTGCCTGGGCGAATAGGTAGCGAGTTACCTCCCCACGGCCTCTGATGTTAAAGTAAATGAGCTTGTAAGAAGTAGACATCTTTACAATCAGCAGAGCGAGCAGCAAAGATAAACTCACCTACGCATATTATTGCATGTGTAAAAAAGGCGTGGCTCCCTGCAAAAATCAGGGGAGTGGCTGGAGAGTTTTAAAATATTTTTATTTTGAGCCAACAATTAAATTAGAAAGAAGTTTACACCAGTCAATAAGGGACTGGGCACTTTTGTCTTTTTCACTTTTTTCTGTGCAATACTCTTCAGCTAAAAATTAATGAAAAACCATTACCACAATGTGATTATTATAATAATATATACCTTTGCTTTGAGCTAGTTTCAAATATCCACCAACAAGTGAAGGATTCTTATCAACACTACCCATCACTATCATAATGTACGGGATCATTGGCCACGCCCATAAATAACCCGGGTGGGTATGTACTACTTTTTGAATGGCCCTGAGAGATTCGTCCAAAGAAAGATCAGAGAGAGATCTTAATATTAATGACATGTGAGGTTTCTATAATGCCAGGATACAAAATTATAAATAAAAACAAGTAAAAATAGTTTAACCTGATTAACAGTGACACTACTGGTGTTAGCATTGATGATTTTATCAAATACCTCTAACACCTATGAAAGGTAATAACTGACCACGCCCAGTTAAAATAAGCCCCACCTACCTCCTTATCCTCGTCGCACATTGAAGATAATGAATGTAAAGCAAAAAGGCAAGACTCACTCAACGAGGCTATACTTGACTCTAAAAGTGAATAAATTAATTATGGCATGTGTGCCTGCCCTTATGGTGGTGTTACTGTATCTACTGTAGTATGGGATATTTCATCAAAAATGACTACGAGAGAATTCTTCATTTTTATATTTTTTTCTGATACATATACATGTTCTTATGTTGTGTAGCAAGTTTGAGTTGATTCCGATCAAGTTTGGATTTTTTACGAATTTTTTAAGTTACTCCAAAATCGGGTGAAAGTCCCTGTACTATAGTACAGGGATTTTGGTCAAATTTTGGCAAAAATGACTACGAGAGAATTCTTCATTTTTATAACTTTTTCTGATACATATACATGTCCTTATGTTGTGTAGCAAGTGTGAGCTGATTCCGATCAAAGTTGAATTTTTTACGAATTTTTAAAGTTGCTCAAAAAGACCCTATATCGTATTTTAGGCTTTTTAAAGGACTCACTAGAAGGCATATACCAATAACTCATTGGTGCTCAGGGATTTTAGATGCTAGTCAGAATATAGAATAATAATTATAAGCAAAACTGAACTATGCATTTCAATCAAAACTCCATGTACATGTGCCTTTACTTACCAGTTATTTTCAATAATTCTGCCAGAGTTGCTTTGAGAAGCACTGGGTCACTGACATACCCAGCAAAAGCAGCCAACGATACAATACCATGTAAGGAAGGAGGCGGAGTTTGAAAACTACAAATTAATATTAAGGATGTGGGTGGTTTTTGGGCGTGGCTAACTCACACTTTAAACAGGAGGTTCTTGCAGCTCTCGTTGTCTTCAACAGCAAACGAACACATTGATAATGCCAGCAATAGCTGGGACTTACTATCAGGATCACAATCATCCACAAGTAACTGATACACTGAAATTAATAAAAAATAACAATAAGTATTTTTTTACATACTATTAATTATTTTTTTACTTTTTGCTGCTTCTGAAAACTTCCTTGCCCTAAACAGTGCCAAGGCTTGTCCCAGCCTGACGTCCGGTGCTTCCATGGCAACTAGTGACTCGTAACAACTCAACGCTTCGGAGTGAGATCCGGTCACACTACATGTATACATGTACATGTAAGCAACCTTCATCAAGAGTTACCTCAGCAACCTGGCGTGGTTATGCATCACAAGAGGTAAGTACCCACTACCTCCTTCTTCTTTCATGTGTGATAGTGAGAGACTTATAGACTCTTTGGCTTGTTTCATCATCCCCTCGTGTTCATAGAGCAATCCCAGGAGATTGAGGGCAAGAGAGTCTTTAGGATAACGTCTGACGTATTTCAATATACCGTCCCTAGCTTGTACTAGGCTCTGGTGAGCTTTGAGAGAGTGAGAAGGAGCTCCTTCTGTTAGTGTCTTACATACCCAATAAGCATAACCTAATGCTGATTCATCCTATAAGAACAATATACATGTAACAATAATGATGATGATGATGATGATAAATAAATAAACCAATAAATAAAATACATACAATAATGATGGATAAAATAACAAATGCCATATACACAATGTACATTACAATTGATACAATACATGTGATATCAGTTGACTCACATGATATTGAAGTTCACTGACGTTCTCCAAGAAGTTTCTGGTCTCCTCCGACTTGCCAAAGATTTCAGCGACTAACCCATCACCAATCCAACCTTGAGAATACATTGGGTCACACGACTGGGACCGTTCGAATGATAAATGAGCCAACTATAAATAAATTAATAAATAAGTTGATAAAAGCATCATCTTTCTTTCTTTCCCCTTCCTTCTCCTACTTTAACATTGTCATTGATGAGGTAAAGTGCACCAAGATTACTCCACACTACTGCATTCTACACATAATAATATCAATCAATCAATAAGTATCATGTGATAGTCACATGACATACATTTGGTTCAATCTTTAATGAAGAAATAAATGAATGCTGAGCCAAAGCATAATCCTTGAGAACTTATGGAGAGAGAGAGGGGGGGGGGGAGGAGGTAAGAGGAGTAATTTTTAATTGTTCACTTACTAGAGTGCATTGCTATTACTCCGAGGGCGTTCCAGTGAGTGTGGCCTCTCGGTGATAGAGTGATTGCATTTTTAATCAACTAAAACGTAAAACATTAATAATTTAAAATAAAATGTTAATATAAATACTTTTAATGAGATTTCTAAATATTCTTTTGAGACATCTTTATCGTCTTCAACCTAACATCATATTGTTTATTTATTTATTTGTTTAGTTGTTGTTGTTGTTGTTGTTTACCTCTGCTAGGTGGTAATAATTAAGTGCAAGATTGTGAAGAAGATAAGGAGATTTGCCATCACACAAATGAAGGCTGCACTTGTATGATCTATAGTACACAAAATATCAACATCATGAGTTTATTATCAAATAAATCGATTCTAACTAACTTCAGTCCAAGTTCAAGTAAAGCCTTTTTACCGATAATTTCTAATCCCTCATCGTTGCCTAGCAACTCGGAAGGAACGCTGACCCTGTGCAAAGAAATGCTGTGAAAATGGGTGGGGCCACGTGGTGTTACCTAGCAACAGTTTCGGCAATGCTATATAAGGAGAGACAAGAATCTCCAATCAGTTTCCACAGACTAATGAATGAGGGTTTTAGCTTTACTGCTCTGGAAAATAATAATAATAATAATAAATTAATAAATAATAATAATAATAATAATAATAATAATAAATAATGATAATAATTATACAACTAACAATAATATTAAATGACTTACTTGGATAGATCAATAAGAGCAAGCGATACATAGGAGACAGCTTTGGAGTCCAGTACATTATTGATGGCTAGCAGTGACAACTTATAATAGCTCTCAGCTCTACCTATAATCAGTACAATCTAAGTATAATTCCAAAATGCAAGAAATTCACAAATCGTGGACATGTATGTATATACATGTACATTTACATGCAAAAAAACTCCAAAATCAGACCAAACATCCTGTACTATAGTACAGGGATTTTGGCCAAATTTCATGAAAAATGGCTAGGAGAAAATTCTGTATTTTTATGATTTTTTCTGATACATATACATGTTCTTATGTTGCATAGAAAGTTTGAGCTGATTCCGATCAAGTTTGAATTTTTTATGAATTTTTAAAGTTGTTCAAAAATTGGGCCAAACACCCTGTACTATAGTACAGGGATTTTGGTCAAATTTCATCAAAAATGGCTAGGAGAGAATTCTCTATTTTTATAATTTTTTCTGATAGATATACATGTACTTATGCTACGTAGAAAGTTTGAACTAATTCTGATCAAGTTTGGATTTTTTATGAATTTTTAAAGTTGCTCCAAATGCCATGTACTGTATTGTAGTGCTTGTCAGCTCATGAAGCTCATGCTGTTTAGCTCACTTAGCATGCTTTAATGTGGAAACTCTACCACTCAATTACAATAATCAACTATTCCTCCAATACCTTTCAAAGCTGGTACATAATCATCCTGTAGCTCAAGGACTCGTGTGTAGCTGGCAACAGCTTCAGATAACAGACCAATCAACTGTTGTATAGCTGCTACCCTAGAGTATGTACAATGTACATAGAATGGAATATAATATAATGTGTATAGACTAACTGGTATTGTGAGAATATGGACTGTGGATTGAGCTAAGAGGATAAAGAGAGGAAAGGGAGAGAGAGAAGAAAAACAAAAGAGAGGAAAAGAGATCACTATAATATATTGTAATGTACACATGTACTTCAGTTGCTTTTTCAAATGCTTTCATTGCTGCAATGTTACTACCTCTTGAGAGATAAGCCTCACCTAAGCACTCCCATACATTGCTACACGATACATGTACGTACATGTACATAAGTGGGCGTGACATTAATAGGCGTGGCTTACCTATCAGAAACGTTCTGATGCAAAACTTTCAAATAACTATAAAATATATGACATTGTAAATTGTACATGTACATGTAGCTACCATTTAATAGCTTCGTCATATTGACTATGTCTTCTATGATATAGTCCTATTCTAAGCCACGCCTCTCTCGCCCTGTAACCAATAGCAACCACACGTCATGTTAAATCACTTACTCTGTAGGTGGAGATTTTTCTGTAATTTTGAGATAAACTTCATAAGCAGATTCCTGTGTAAAGTATTAAGTTGATAATTTTAGTTAATAACTAGCCACACCTCTTCACCCAATGCCGACAGACACTCCCCTAATGATATCCCAGCCTCAGTTAGACCAGGATGAATAGTAAATGCCTTTTTATAACATTTAACAGCACGACTGAAGGAGGAAAAATAGAGAGATTTTAGGAAAAATAAAACAACAAATGTACATACATGTGTATGATGAAACCTACTTGATATCATTAGCAACGTGTCTCTGATAGTGTCCCAGCATATTAAATACAGCTGGATTATAACTATCCAACTGACCTGCCTGTGACATAATAGAAAATAATAAAATGCGACATGTACATGTACCAAAAATTTTATATTCCTACCTTCACCAGTGAAGGATAAGACTTTGTTCTATTTCCATTATACCAGTTGGTATAACCAGCCCAATAATGATACTCACTGAACTGAGGACACTCATTTATAGCTAGCTGAAACCTACCAGGAGCAATGGAGATATAATTAATACTATGATGATTCTACAAGTACATACTTGTCATGTGCTTGATCAAAATCACCTCTAGCCACAAATAAATGACCCTATAACAGCAATTACAATAATAATATTATTATTATTCATGATACTTTTAATTCATTCAGTATTCCTTTCTCCTCATTGAGCAAGGAAGCTTTATCATTAATAATCTAAAAATATAATAAATTGATAATAAATCCAGTAAATGTGTATCATGTACTCCTTCAGCTTCATGTATCATTCCATTAGCAATGAGAGCCTTAACATACAGTCTGATCACATGACAGTCACATGACTCACTGTACAACTAGAAAGAAGAGAATACATGTATAATGCATATGCAAATAATGGTCCTTACCTTTTCACATGAAGTTAAAGCCTCTTGTTTATGATTACCCTCCAGGAGTTGAGCCTCAATTAGTAAGATACTGATCAGAATAATGACAAGAGATACATCAACCAACTACTTACTGGAATGAATGTGATACTTGTCTCCGTATGAAATAAGGTAAACTTCCCAAAGCTTCTAATCCTAAACTAATTAATAAATTATAAACTACAGTACATGTACATGTACCTTTCCGAGCATTATTAATGACAACTTCATAGTCGTGTGCCTTCATGTGACAGACACATGATACGAACCAGCCCTCACAGGAGTCTGGTAAAGAGACTGTCCCTATGTAAAGTCAATCACATGATCTATCATGTGACTGTATGTACCTTTACTGGCTAGTGTGCAAGCTTCTTTTATTTTTCTTGATTGTAGTAATACCAAACAATGAGAAATGAGCCACACTCCTTCTCTCTCCTCCTCCTCCTCCTCTCCTCTCTTGTCCAGTAACAGTGTTATTGCGATAAGATCCTCTTCAGTTAGTGGTTGAATGGACAGTACTAATATACCAGTAATAAAATAGTGTACATGCAGTTAAGAGTACCTTTTAAACACTTCCATATCTCCAGCTGGAGTAATGTCTCTTGGTTCTCTTTACTTTCTAGCATTTCACATTCCTCTTGTACCGTCTTCAATAAACTATCAATCACTTCTTCATCTTCCACTAACTACACAGTACACATTATACACAGAGTAATGGAGTGTGTATCATATATGACAGTTAGACACATGCACATAGAGTGACATAAGAGTGTTTACTATGAAATACAAATTTTCAAAGTTTTTTGGCTGATCAGGTTAAGCCCTTCTCAGGCCTTCTGTACCTTAATCCATTCCATGCAGGAGCTAATGAATAATGTTTGTATCTCTATCCTCTTAGTCTCTGTCAGAGAAGAAAGGAAGGATTTATAACTGCCTTCAATTAGCTGCCACTGGGTCTGGGAATATTGAGGATGACGTAGTAGAAATAATAATGACTTCTCAGTAATGGAACCAGAGGCAGAGGGAGAGACTAAAAGATATAAATAAGCTCCAGCTGCCTTAAGAGAGAAAGGGGGAAGGAAGGGATGAAGGAGAAAGAAGAGAGAGAGAGGGAAAATAAAGATAGAGAAGAGGAAGGGAGGGAGAAAAGAGACATTATGTACACAGGGATAATGTTCTTACCTTTTCTAATTGGCCTACATCCACATATAATGGAGCAAGTTTACAATACAAATTGAATTCTTTTTCTCCATCTCTACATAATGAGAGCATCAAACATGATGGTCATATGATGGTCACATGACTCACCCAGTCACAGTGTTTAGTATATGACTGTAAGTCTTAATTGCTTCCAACTTTTCATCTTTATCCTCTGGGCTGTACTTATCATACAAATCTGCCAAGCCCTAAAAATAATGATCACAATAGCTAAAATGTAATTGCAGAACCCTCACAGATCTTTTACATAAACTATTTACCTTCCAGGCCAGTATTTCTTTCTCATTAGAGGTTATTGCTATCCTGTACTGGTGTCTGGCCTCTCCTACTTCTTTTAGCAGTAAATGAGCTTTACCACACAACACATGAGCAAGGTAATGAGTGTCATCATGCCAAAATATAGCCTGTGAATTGATGAACAAGGCAACACATAATCAAAAAAACTTGCTATTTTTACCTGACACTGTTTGATAGCCTCAGGATAGTCTTCTCTGTCTAGAGCAGAACGAGCTGATTTAAGAAGAGATTTGACCTCTTTACTGGCAGCCATACTTATCTAATTAAAAGCGTGGGCGTCAAAACACCTGGCCACGCCTAGTCTGTTACGCCTGGTCTGGATGCCAAGAATTCCAAGCATGTTTCAAGGCTTAAGGCTAGCTAGTTTGCCTGGCCACGCCTAGTCTACAGCAGCAAGGTTCCCGCCACCACGCGGCAAAATGGCAAAGCAAGAGCTCGTCCTTCCAGTCAACGCAGCTATGGTTACAGATAAAATGGCAAAGCAAGAGCTCGTCCTTCCAGTCAACGCAGCTATGGTTACAGATAAAATGGCAAAGCAAGAGCTCGTCCTTCCAGTCAACGCAGCTATGGTTACAGATAAAATGGCAAAGCAAGAGCTCGTCCTTCCAGTCAACGCAGCTATGGTTACAGATAAAATGGCAAAGCAAGAGCTCGTCCTTCCAGTCAACGCAGCTATGGTTACAGATGGTATTTGTCGTACAGATGGAAAACTTAAGAAGCGTGATGAATTGCTCCATAGTATGGATATAGGAGGAAAACCTGAGGGCACCTTTCAATATCAGTCTGAGGCTGCCCAGTCAACTGCTCCTGATGAAGAGAGAGTGGTTATCTCAGGGCTGCTTATGAATAATGTCAATCCTGAGGAAAGGATAGTCATCCTGGGGAACCTAGACAATAGAGAGATTGGAGAAGAGCTAGGAAGAGGAGCTGGAGGTTGCAGAAATCAACAGTTTTCCTGTGAGCACATTGAAACTATAGACGATCAGGAGCTGGCACCATCAGACTACATTGACACCACTGCACCAACTGTTTGGGGATTCTATACAGAAGCTGGACCATAGCACTTACAATATATTCATAATTTTTGTGTGTATGTATTTACTTGTTTCAATAACAATATCACTTTTGCCTATAAAAGAAGGACCTCTACATTTACATGCATATATTCATGCAGTCAATATATCCTGGATTAATTAACACATTCAATATTCATGACTTGTAATGACATAGTTACACGTGGTCAGCTTTATGCACACACAGACACATACACAGAGATCACAAGAAGAAGCTGAGTGACTACCGTTCGTTCATCTCGTTCGTTCATCGTTCAGAAAACATTTTATCAAACTATTTTAGTAGTGTGAGTGTATGTTGCTATTTTGTTTGTTATCATTTGCTGTAACTTCTCTTTTCTCACTCTTTCTAAAACATTCCCATTCTTCCTTCATTTCCTCTTTCCTTTCTAACTCTCTCTCTTCTTCTTTTATTATTTGGTTAAGAATATTCGTGATCCTCCTAATTCAGTCATACAATCACACTACACATCATATGATGTTACATCCCTGCCTAAAATGCTCCACCCCATACTGCTGGTACCTCAAACACAGATTCACATTAACATTAGTAGCATATACACTAATACACCTCTGACAACACAAAATCCATTCCAAACAAATAATCTATGTATAATCAAAGGCTAACAGTCAGTACAGTGCTCTTGATTGATAGTATGAAACTATTAGTATCGGACAATGCATCTATACATACAACCCAATCTCTCTCTGCCATCAATTCCAATATACGCCTACATAAAGCAGCACCAACTGAGACCACCTATTAATAATACAATCACATAGTTATAAACCATGTACAATGAATTATTAACCTTTTCATTTGGTAATGAATTAAGATTCTTAATAGAATCTGGTGAACATACATCAGCCAGTAACTACATATAAATAATGGCTTACAAGCATTTGCTCTAATACTGTATTACCTGGTTAACTATAGTAGATATCACAGTAGCAATATGAGAGGAAGATTCTGTACCCAAAGTTACTAACAGTGATCTAAAGCATTAACATGGAGATGCTATCACTCTATACCTTGTGCATTACCTGAAGTATCCAATACATGATACTACTGAAAGTACATGGAGAAAAAAAGCAAGCCACTACAAACTGATGTTCACTGTATGTGTAACTGACCATCAATAGATTTCCCTGAGCACTGAGTACACAAGCAGTATACACCATTAGCATCCTGCAGAGGGAGGGAGAGGGAAAGTGAGGGAGCAAGGGGAAGCAGATGCCATGTAAAATTGGTCATCAAATGTCAATGTGTATAATTATGTTCTTCAGGCAAAGATTGCTCAGATTCTAATAGGAATAATCACATAAGATTCATCAACTAATAGGAATAATCACATAAGATACATCAACTAATAGGAATAATCACATAAGATTCATCAACTAATAGGAATAATCACATAAGATTCATCAACTAATAGGAATAATCACAAAAGATACATCAACCAACCACTTACTGGAATGAATGAGATACTTGTCTCCGTATGAAATAAGGCAAACTTCCCAAAGCTTCTAATCCTAAACTAATTGATAAATTATAAACCACAGTACATGTACATGTACCTTTCCAAGCATTGATGACAACTTCATAGTCGTGTGATGTCATGTGACAGACACATGATACGAACCAGCCCTCACAAGAGTCTGGTGAAGAGACTGTCCCTATGTAAAGTCAATCACATGATCTGTCAAGTGACTATATGTACCTTTACTGGCTAGTGTGCAAGCTTCTTTTATTTTTCTTGATTGTAGTAGTACCAAACAATGAGAAATGAGCCACACTCCTCTCTCCTCCTCCTCTCCCCTTTTGTTCAGTAAGAGTGTCATTGGGATAAGATCCTCTTCAGTTAGTGGTTGAATGGACAGTACTAATATACCAGTAATAAAATAGTGTACATGTAGTTCAGAGTACCTTTTAAACACTTCCATATCTCCAGCTGGAGTAATGTCTCTTGGCTCTCTTTACTTTCTAACATTTCACATTCCTCTTGTACCGTCTTCAATAAACTATCAATCACTTCTTCATCTTCCACTAACTACACAGTACACATTATACACAGAGTAATGGAGTGTGTATCATATATGACAGTTAGATACATGCACATAGAGTAACATAAGAGTGTTTACTATGAAATACAAATTGTCAAAGTTTTTTGGCTGATCAGGTTAAGCCATTCTCAGGCCTTCTGTACCTTAATCCATTCCATGCAGGAGCTAATGAATAATGTTTGTATCTCTATCCTCTTAGTCTCTGCCAGAGAAGAAAGGAAGGATTTATAACTGCCTTCAATTAGCTGCCACTGGGTCTGGGAATATTGAGGATGACGTAGTAGAAATAATAATGACCTCTCAGTAATGGAACCAGAGGCAGAGGCAGAGACTAAAAGATATAAATAAGCTCCAGCTGCCTTGAGAGACAGAGGGGGTAGGGGAGAGATAAAGGGAAAAAAAGAGAGAGGGAAAAGAAAAATTGAGAAGAGGGAGGGAGAGAGAAAGAGACATTAAATAATGGACATGCACAGTAATAATGTTCTTACATTTTCTAATTGGCCTACATCCACATATAATGGAGCAAGTTTACAATACAAATTGAATTCTTTTTCTCCATCTCTACATAATGAGAGCATCAAACATGATAGTCATATGATGGTCATAATGACTCACCCAGTCACAGTGTTTAGTATATAACTGTAAGTCTTTATTGCTTCCAACTTTTCATCATTATTACCAGGACTGTACTTATCATACAAATCTGCCAAGCCCTAAAAAATTAAAATCATGATAGCTAGAATGTAATCCCATGTCCATTACCATTAGTCCATAAAATTACGAAGTACAAAGCCAAAAACCATCACAAATCTTTTGCATAAACTATTTACCTTCCAGGCCAGTATTTCCTTCTCATTAGAAGTTATTGCTATCCTGTACTGGTGTCTGGCCTCTCCTATTTCTTTCAACAATAAATGAGCTTTACCACACAACACATGAGCAAGGTAATGAGTGTCATCATGCCAGAATATAGCCTGTGAATTGATGAACAAGGCAACACATAATCAAGAAAACTTATTTCTACCTGACACTGTTTGATAGCCTCAAGATAGTCTTCCCTATCTAGAGCAGAACGAGCTGATTTAAGAAGAGATTTGATCTCTTTACTGGCAGCCATACTTATCTAATTAAAAACGTGGGCGTAAGAACACTGGTGTCGTCTCGGTTAGTCATAGATAATTATAATCTATAATCTGTGGTTTAGTTTACAATAATTGTTTGTTGACAAAGCATGCGCATACTACTTGCAGCACGCTTCCCTCCACCACGCGGCAAAATGGCAAAGCAAGAACTCGTCCTTCCAGTCAACGCAGCTATGGCTACAGATGGTATTTGTCGTACAGATGGAAAACTTAAGAAGAGTGATGAGTTGCTCCATAGTGTGGATATAGGAGAAAAACCTGAGGGCACCTTTCAATATCAGTCTGAGGTTGCCCAGTCAAGTGCTCCTCATGAAGAGAGAGTGGTTATCTCGGGGCTGCTTATGAATAATGTCAATCCTGAGGAAAGGATAGTCATCCTGGGGAACCTAGATAATAGAGAGATTGGAGAAGAGCTAGGAAGAGGAGCTGGAGGTTGCAGAAATCAACAGTTTTCCTGTGAGCACATTGAAACTATAGACGATCAGGAGCTGGCACCATCAGACTACATTGACACCACTGCACCAACTGTTTGGGGATTCTATACAGAAGCTGGACCATAGCACTTACAATAATATTCATAATTTTTGTGTGTATGTATTTACTTGTTTCAATAACAATATCAGTTTTGCCTATAAAAGAAGGACCTCTACATTTACATGCATCATATGATGTTACATCCCTGCCTAAAATGCCTCACCCTAGACTGCTGGTACCTCAAACACAGCATTCAGATCAATAAAGCAGTTACACTGATACACCTCTGACAAAACAAATCCATTTCAAGAAATAAGCTTATGTCTAATCAAAGGTTAACAGTCAGTACTGTACTCTTGATTGATAGTATGAAACTATTAGTATCACATAGTGCATCTATACATATAACCCAATCTCTCTCTGCCATCAGTTCCAATATACGCCTACATAAAGCAACACCAACTGAGACCACCTATTAATAATACAATCACATATTAATAAACCATGTACAATGAATTATTAACCTTTTCATTTGGTAATGAATTAAGATTCTTAATAGAATCTGGTGAACATACATCAGCCAGTAACTACATATAAATAATGGCTTACAAGTTACGAGCATTTGCTCTATATTACTGTATTACCTGGTTAACTATAGTAGATGGTGCAGTAGCAATATGAGAGGAAGATTCTGTACCCAAAGTCACTAACAGTGGTCTAAAGCATTAACATAGAAATATTATGACTCTATACCTTGAGCATTACCTGAAGTATCCAATACATGATACTACTGAAAGTACATGGAGAAAAAAAAGCAAGCCACTACAAACTGATGTTCACTGTATGTGTAACTGACCATCAATAGACTTCCCTGAGCACTGAGTACACAAGCAGTATACACCATTAGCGTCCTGAGAGGGAAGGAGAGAGAAAGTGGGGGAGCAAGGGGAAGCAGAGCCATGTAAAATTGGTTATCAAATGTCAATGTGTAAAATTATGTACTACTTCAGACAAAGATTGCTCAGATTCATACAATAATTACAAGAAAAAATATTGGGCAGGGATTGTGGGCATTTGTGGCTCCCCTAATCGCCACAAACTCTCAGTCTCCCAGGAATGCAAAGATCTGGTATTAACCAACCCACATGGGGCCCATGCTGTATAGACTCAGTAGAGCTTGACTAAACAGGGTGCAGCCAAACATTCAGCAGCTGAAACCAATTGGGGTTATCAGCTACTACATAGTCTACATACATATGTTTAAGTGTTTTGTTTATCTATAATACCTGTATAGAAGCCCTACTGCATATACCACAGCCAATATAAAGGCAAGCCTCCAACAAATGGAGCTAATAAAAGGGAAAGAATAGAAGAGAGAGAATAAGATGCATATATATATCAGTTGTTCTGCTTACCAACTGATGATAATCAATCTCATTATTGTCAGTCTTTCCCTTTATGCTACACAAATCAAAACCATCATTACCTGATTCCATTATAAACCTAAAACACATATAGCATTACTATGATTATTAACAGCTACTACATAAAAAACCTCATTGAAGTTGCCCTCGCCTTCACATGATACATCCCTGAGGACCGCACCTCATTCAATTGAGATACACTAACAAACCTTGTATCAGCAGAAACTGGATTAGACGTTACTATCTAATTAGTGGGAGTGGTCATATATGCATAACCACACCCACAAACATCACTTTTAAAACTTCTTGTGCTTTTGATTGGTCAGAGTATTTAAAACAAGACCTGCTTGTTGACTGTAACACAGTATACCCTGTCACATGACTAGTTTATTAAAAGTTACAAGTGTATTCATGTACCGGCCTGACTTCCTTCGGGAAGAACTATGAGGTAGGTAGCGTCCCAGACTAGCCCCACCCCTTTAATTAATCTGTTGAACCATAACTGAGACTGGTGACCAATACTATCAGAGAAAAGGGCAGGGAGAGAATGAAAAACAAACAAAAAAAGGAAATAACATGTATAAGAGTCAAGACAGTGTGGGAAGGGAATTTTAATTCCTAGCTGATAAACTCACATATTTATTAATACAGATGATGTAGGAGAGTCAGACATTAATAACACTGTATATGAAAATAAATTAGCTTCTTTTACAATGTGTATACATTCATGTACATGTACTAGCCACTTCCGCTTACTTTTATTTGATATAATCTTTAACAGTTTACCTCGAAAGTGAATGAGCGATTCTGAAAATAATTCATCTGATCTTTTAAAATCTATTTTGCCTTATGGAGGAAAGGAACCAATCAATCATCAAATGATAAAGAGGTGCTTACATTTTTCTGCTTTATTTTGTTTTTCAAATAAAAAGAAATGATCTCTTATAGCCCAGGAATAAAAATTTGAATAAATAGACTGTGGGATTTTATCTCTAACTATAAAATAACAAGGAGAGAGAAATGAAGCAAAAGAAGAACATGTAAAAACAGGCAACACTCAATTTAAATGGCTCTTCGTACATACAACAATTACAACAATGTATGAAAGCTTTACATAAATATTTACACTAAGGTACTACTAATACTACTAATAGCTATCTCTTTTGGCAAGTCCCGCTGGCAAATATTCATTTTGCTCGGAAGCAGTTTAAACTTACTCCACAACATAATAACATGCATACATATTAGGAAATATATAAATGAAAATTCTCTCATAGCAATTTTTGCAGCTCATTTTATGACAAAATCTTAAAAGGCAATGTTACATGTAACTGATGTCCCCATACTTTTTAAAGGTATCCTCTTACACTGGTGAATATTAAGTAGTCTAGTGAGCAGTACAGTGTGTCCAACCTTCTCCCCTTGCCATTCCTTCACACGCATGTCTACAAAACAGCAGCTGCCATTATAAAAAGAGCCCCACTCACTTGAAAGCAAAATGATATCACCAGGTGTAAGTCTCTCTGCCCACTGGGCTGCTTCCCTCCAAAGAGTTAGTTTAAAGTGAAAGAGGGTTGGGTCTGAGAGAAGGACTGACGCAATGGCAACCTAGTCATTATTAAATATAAATATTTTGCTTCCCACTCATAAATAAATTTCAAAGTTTTTCAAAACTGAAAATCAACATTATTATGATAAGACTGACTTTCTCGCTGTTTTTCATATTTATTTCTCTGAGTGGATTAACTAGTTATGTGATCCAAAAAGACATACTCTAAAATGAAACAATACAGTCCCCTATGTCACACCCCTTACCTTGAGTGATGATTGCCAAAACAGACACAAGTTGACCAATCACGCTACAATCAACTAACGACTGGCAGCCAGGGGGCGGGGCATATTCAGGTTGCTTAGCAACTGTTTGAGAGATACAAGGCGGAGAATTAAATAAAAGTGGAGAGTTAGCGGTGTCGTATGAAGAATGAAAACCATAGATAGTTGATAGGTAACTAGGAAGAGAGGATTCTATTTGTGTGTCTTCTTCGTCAAGTTCTTTCAAGAAATCTTCTGACAGTTATCTGTGATAAAAACAAGAGATAAGGCACATTATAACTTACTTTTGAGTGTAATGATGTTGTTATCTTTTGAAAGTACAGTCCCTGCCTCCTCTAAATTGAGTTTTTTAGCAGGAGGGGAGCTTGAAGAAGCCATGATGTAGCACGTGGCCAAGCCACTCCTACTAATTAATTTTGAGCGTCAAAAATAATTAGTCGTACACGCCCATTTCCAGGAACTATAAATGTGTGATGGTGTTGCGTAGTATTTATGGTGCCAGCATAGCAGTATTCTTATCAGTGTTGTTGTGCTGTAAACTACGGTATACTACACAGAGTTAACAATAACAACTACAACTGTCAAACAATGTTAATCTCAAGGTTAATTATCATTTTATGGAGAAGCAATTTTACACATTATTGCACATCCGTCCAGCCCACAGTCGCAAAAGGCATTCATAACTCCAGCATATTTCACATTATGCCCTCTGTGACAGTTCTTCACACACTGGTAGCAGCAGCCCCCATGCGGATCAGGTATACAAGTGTAGCAACGATAGAATGGTTGTTTGACAAATTCTCGATTAGTAGAGGCATAAGTGCAGACTGCTTGCTTGTGCTTATACTTTCCGCAATCGCAATAGAACCTTTCGTTTTCACCCAGTGAGTGATAGATGAGACGATGGCCAGAGTGACAGTCATCAGCACAAAAATCACACACACCAAAGCACGAATCACCTCCCCAACAAGTCCAGCACTCGTAATAGCCTCTGGGTTTGTTGTACTCAAATTGGTCATAGGTGCATTTTGAGCCAAGGGAGCAGTCGATTCTGCAAGTCTTCAGTCCACAGTCGCAGTAAGCAGACATGACCCCTTCACATTTGACCCTGTGTCCACTGTGACAGACTTCCCGGCATCCCTCACATACACCTAAGTTGTCTCCAGTGAAGCAGTCGTAGCATCTGTAGAATTTTTGTTGCTTGAATGATGTTTTGGTTGAGCCATATGTACAGCAGGAACGGCGCCTGGGAGTGCTCGAATCAATGGAGAGCCCACCAAAAAGACCAGTAATTCTGGTGACTTCTATTGTTCGTTCTTCGTGGATCAAATGAACAGAGCCACCTTCCATGCGCAGCCTAGTACGAGAGGTATGAGAGCTTGAAGAAACTATTTCTTTCTTGTCAGCCATCGCACTAATGAATGCATACCAATTACCAAAACAAGGGGCTGTACCTTGTGGGCGTGTTTTGAAGTTATTAAAAAACAAAATGGCGTCTAGCTTGCCCCGTCCTGAAAGTTGGAAATGGTATCATTGGTTTTCAGCCAATAGATTGAGATCATGGTAAGTTTGTGAGCCTATTTAGTTTATATTTATTTCTCTAAAGGAGTCCTACAGCTCTCGCATTGTTGGCAGGTGCTGGAGTGACACTTGTTTATATGACTGACTGGCAAGTAGTCCTGAGATACGTCCCGTATGTGAGGGGAAAGTTCCCTCCAATAGAAGAAACGCCTGCTGGGAATGAAGAAGAAGGGGGAGACTGACTAATAAATATCATAGATAGTATTTAATGCATTTTGTTATGTTATTAGTTGACACTTATTTACGATTAGGGCGTGGCCCAGTTTAGTCCTATGAATATTTAATTAGATTTTATGGGCGTGGTATTAATTATGGCGGATTCTGCAGCAGGCACTGAAGATAAAAATCATGAGAAAAGTGGCTATTCTCCTGTTTTAGAAGAAACACTTTTCGTTGCAAAAGCTGGTGTGTCTTGTATAAACTGAGTGTTTTAATTTTTATATATTTCCTGTGTTATTATTGCTTTTAAAGGGCTAAGATTAAGAATGAGTGAAGTGGCCATTGCTACAGCTCTACAATATTATCACACCTTTCAGAGCACCATGGAAAAGAACCGCTTTGATGAGAATGTGAGTAAAGTAGTACCTTACGGTGCAAAGTTTTTGAGGTCTGTAAATTTTGCAAAAAAATTTCCTAAAAGTTTGCAGACTTATATATACTCCTCATCACTTGTTTATAGTTGGTTGCAATGGCTTGTCTCTTCCTTGCTGCTAAAGCTCAGGAGGTTTCATTAAGACTAAGTGACCTTGTTAACACCTGCTACCAGTAAGATATGCACAATTTAAAATATAGAGACACACCTCAAAACATATATGTACATGTATATTAAAATAATTTATTAGGGACTGGAGAATTAATGTTTGATTCCGTTCCTCTCTTTATCTTAGTATACTTCATCATGATAAGCCACAGCTTGAAGTATCTAGTCTCTACTGGCAGTTAAAGGAAAGTGTTGCTAAAATGGAACTAGTACTTTTAAGAGCTTTAAAATTCGAATTTCAATTAGATCTTCCGCATAGAGTTAAGTGCATGCTCAGTATATTATCAGTATACTTATGAAATACTATTAGTATTCTATTAGGATATTTTTACTATTAGTATTCTGTTAGGATATTTTTAATGTTGGTTACAATTATTCAGAATTATACCTTTCATTTTCTCATTCCAGTATCTTCTCCATCACTTGCTCTCTCTCTCCCACTGGGTCGAACCCTCTCAATGGCACTCAAGTCACGTGACCAGGTTGTCATGGTCCCTCCTTCAAGACTCCTTTCACACGACACTAAACCACATACACCCACCAAACAAAATGGCCGTCGCAGTTCTCTACCTAGCGGTGAAGGTTTCTAGACTCGTGATACCTTCACCAGGATCAAGATACCAATGGTGGGAGGTAAGTAGCAAGTGTTACATTGTATAGTTGATAATATTAATATACTGATACACATCATATCAGACTATCAGTATATTCTATATGACTCAAAGTATTAAAAAAATATATTTATTTGCTATTTCTTGAGGTGATGTGTCCTGGAGTGACAGAGCCAGAACTGCAGACATTGTGTGAGGCAATAATGAATTTATATCAAAATGAAAAATGATTAATTACTCTGTAATATAATTACATGTATGTATGTATTATTTTTAATACTTTGCATATGGAAATTTTTCATCAATGATGCGATCAGTCGTTACTATGTTTAAATATAATTTATATTAACTGCTTGTCATGTTAATAATAATAATAATAATAATAATAATGATTACAATGTTTGTTACCATTAAGCATAATAAACAAGATTGTTTTTCTTTTTTGCTTGAACTTCCATTATCCCTAAACAAACAAACCAAAATAGATGTACAGTACATGAAGTAACAGTCTCTCTTTTCTCCCTCTCTCCTTCCTTACCATCCATGTAATCTTCATGAGACAACTCTGTTGATCCTCTTCTTAATGCCAGCATACCCTAAAAACAAATAACCATAATTTTCATCATAAAAAAGCATCTAGGATGGATGCAATAAAAAAGGTTTTAGTGAAACAGAAATTTCATCATCAACCATCAACCCCTTCTCCTCTCTCCTTCTTACTGCTTCAACACAGACAGCCTTGCACTGAGCACCATTAAAGTCCTCAGTGCAGCGAGCCAGTTCCTCAAAATCAACGTCAGTGCTAACGTTCATCTTTCTTGAGTGAATCTTCATTATCTGCTCCCTAGCCTTTTGAGTCGGTAACGGGAACTCGACCTTCCTGTCCAACCGACCTGTTTAATAACTATTAATTAACTTGACCACACCCAACACAGTCTAACCTGATCTTAGTAGGGCAGGGTCAAGTGTGTCTACTCTATTGGTAGCTGCGATGACCTATGGGTGTGGTTAAGAGGTGAGGCCACACCCATTCTATATTGTTACCTTGACTTCGCTGGTAGAGCTGAATCCGTCTAACTGATTGAGTAGCTCTAACATTGTTCTCTGGACTTCTCTATCTCCTTCCTTCTCACTAGCAAAACGCTGGAAAAAATAAGAAAAATTAAAAGTTAAGCACAAAATTGTATAGTTAAGCCATACAATTTTTACTGGCTGCAACTTATCAAAAATTTAGTCTCCTTACCTTAGTGCCTATTGCATCTAATTCATCAATGAATATGATTGCTGGGGATTTCTCCTTTGCTAAAGCGAAGGCATCTTGTACCATTTTGGCACCATCACCGATAAACATCTGAGAGAGACAGAAAAAACAAAATAGAACCTATAAATATTATTTTTAATATATTTCTTATACTAACCTGTACTAACTGAGGTCCTGCCAGCTTAAGGAAAGTGGCCTAAAGTAGTAATTTATTATTAATTATTTATTCAAAATTATTTATTTTTCTTTTACTTTAGTTTGAGCTGCACAAGCTCTTGCCAGGAGAGTCTTCCCAGTTCCAGGAGGTCCGTATAATAACACGCCTATATTTGGTCGTATAAGACACACCTACAGCCACACCCATAATACCTTTAGGTGGCTGTATCCCTATGTTTTCAAACTTTTCTTTGTGAGTCATTGGAAGGACAATGGCCTCCACTAACTGGAGGGAGAGAGAGAGAAAGAGGATAGAAAGAAATAAATAATGGCTGCATACTTCTTCAATTTGTTTGTCAAGTCCACCAATATCTCCATACGTTTCTGTTGGTTTCTCATCAACCTCCATTGCTTTCACACGGGAATCATACCTACATTGTAGAGATGTAATGTAATTTTTAAAATGAGATTTGTAATATATACATGTCACAAGGCTATAAAATGAAATTATAGCTTTGGCAAAATGCAATATTTGCATGTATAGCATGAAGCATAACATCAATATTTCTTTCTAGCATGGCCCATTATGTCTTTTGTCAAAATTTTGAGCAACTTCAAAAATTCATAAAAAATCCAATTTTGATCGGAATCAGTTCAAACTTGCTAAACAACATAAGAACATGTATATGTATCAAAAAATATTACAAAAATGAAGAATTCTCTCCTAGTCATTTTTGGCGAAATTTAGCCAAAATCCCTGTACTATAGTACAGGGACTTTGGCCCAATTTTTGAGTAACTTAAAAAAATCGTAAAAAATCCAATTTTGATCGGAATCAGTTCAAACTTGCTAAACAACATAAGAACATGTATATGTATCAAAAAATATTACAAAAATGAAAAATTCTCTCCTAGTCATTTTTGGCAAAATTTGGCCAAAATCCCTGTACTATAGTACAGGGACTTTGGCCCAATTTTTGAGTAACTTTAAAAATTCGTAAAAAAAATCCAATTTTGATCAGAATCAGTTCAAACTTGCTAAACAACATAAGAACATGTATATGTATCAAAAAAAATTATAAAAATTGAGAATTCTCTCTTTGCCATTTTTGACAAAATACCAAGCACTACAATAGTCGATGGTCTTTCAATCATTGCAGGAGCAGATAATGTCACAAAAATGACTAGAAAAGTTATAAATTAATTAATCTTACTCGGGAGGAAGCGTATCCAATATAAGATAAGAGTCTTTATTCACACCCTATCAGGGATTTTAATAATGGGCGTGGCCATATAATCAAAAGACTCCACCTACCACTAAATCTCCTGGTTTGAGCTTCTCTGGATCAACAAGGCCAATGACTGGCAGGAAATATGTCTAAAGAAAGGTAGATTTAATATGTCAGTAATCTTCATTCCCTCTGTGCTTCCATTACTTGTCTTGTTGATGTTTTTATTACGGCAGATTTTCCTTTTCTTTGAGAGTCTAAATCCATATGACCGCCATCTTCCTCCTCCTAAGAATAAATATTGATTAATAATAATTATTTTTAAAATAATTAATATATATACCTGTTCTAATGGGTCTATATCCAGGAGCTTCATGTAAAAGACAAAATAATTAAAATAGAATAAAAATATGACGTACCTCTACTACATTTGATACCAAATAAGGAAGTACTTTGAACACTTTAATCTTCTCGTTATTTTCCTATTTAATTAATTAATTAACAATTTTAAAAATAATCTTTACAAAACCTTTATTTTTTCTTTCATGCTTTGTTGCTCGTGACTAATTCGTGCAATTTCGCTTTTCATAATCTGTTGTGAAAAAAGAAAGGGGTGCATGTGACGTCACACAATTGACCACGCCCACCTTCACATCGTTGTCCAGTAGTCTGGCTCTACTGATTATTTCTTCTACACCCATTCTTAGGACATCATCTCCCAAAGCAGCCTACAAAATACAATTTACAACAAGGAGATCCTTAGAAAAACAAACCTCTGCTTCTTCCCATATGCTCTTGTCCTCCAAAGTCGTCATTTTCCCAATGTTCAAAATTACTTTTTATTTCCAATTACTCTCGTAATTAGATTATTAACGGCACTGTACCACCCACGCACTGCCATGTTTTCCATAGCAGCGCGTAAACTATGAAACTTTAAAAATCCAACTTCAAGTGGAAAATGGATCAACTTGTGTTTGCTGTAGTGTCTCCAGCTCAGGATTTCAATGTTCTAGTGGATTTGCTACCTGTAGTACACTCTGGCTGTCTCTGTGACTCTCTACGTCCCTCTTCATCTTCAAATATTTCTCATAACTTAGCTCCAAAGCCATGGGGCAGCGACTGTACGTTGAAAAACTGCTTCCACTCTACACACTGCAAGTCATCAAATAGCAATACTAGTAATAGTAGTAGACTCAGGCACGGGAGGGTGAGGTGGATAACAGAAGACATCCAAGGTGATAAGAGAAATAGTGATCATTCTCACACAAGGCACTGTAGCGTATCAAGACTCACATTTGCCGGGAGCTCTACTTCAATGATACGCTTTGATTTCAACCACCAAGCCTCACCGTACCTTGCCATTAATGACTACCGGCTCTCACACACATACCCAAACATGCAGCCGCCCTCCATTAGAAGAGAAAACAGAAGAAAGGCAGCCTCTGCCTCTCCCTCTGTTGATAGATGTTGCTCTCATCCCAACCATTCAACAGCAGCTCAGACTCTAGCAACTGCAGTAAGGAAAATACCATCACTCACTCTTCCAAGGACGATACTGATAAACCCAGACTATCCTGAGTCTACAAGAAGAAAGACTAAACTAGGCAGCGCCAGTAGCAGTAGCAGCACGACTAATATCGAGTTGGAAAAAAGGAAAAAGCAACTCTCATCTTCTTCTCTTGCAGCCCCAAAGCCTCCCCTCAAATCAGTGATGGATACAAACATATCCTTCAAGCTCTGTTGGCTGGAGCAGCCTTCCTTTCTTGTGCAGCCCACAAAGTCACTGGATATTGTTAGGCGAGCGTCGGAAAACGGAATCATGGAACTGAAGAAGCATCGCCAGAAGCAAATGCCTTCTTCGTCCAGCAAGAGCAAGAATGGAGAGGATGGGAATGGAGTTGTGGTGAGACAGTCACCAAAATCAGGTCTAATACACACTGACACACACACCAGCTTTACACAGCAATATATGCTAAAGCCACCAAGAGCTACAGACATTGAGACAAACACCACATGCAGTTCAGACAGCATGCACTCAATTATCACTATTAACAGTCCCTGGGGGACAAACTGTTGAAAAAAAGAAGTGACTGAATAAAATACAATAAGACACGAAATGGTGCAATAATAATAATAATTAATACATTTACACCTGTGTAATAGTCATTTGAATAATAAAATAAGAGATTATGCTATAACAATTAATAAGTTTTGTTTTTAATTTTTGAATTACCAGGCACCAATGCACTCCCACTGTGCTCCCATAGTTCAAGACCTTGTTTCAATACAATTGAAGCATCACTCCCTAATAGCTACATTATGTACAAACATCATTAATGAAATAGTTATTTTACTTTTTAACTTACTTGGTCAAAAAGTTTAAGAGCCTGTACTATGCTCTTTGACATTAACAAAGCTCTTTTCCGATGAAGTATCAAACTAATGGCAATGTATATGAGTACAGAATAAGAGCCTCCAATAAGCCTATCCCAAATTCTATAATAATTGAGAGCTAAAATTAATATTTTCAATATAAAAAATTATACTCACATTTCTATCTCGGGCAAAGGAAATTCATTCAGGAAGCATTCAAAAAACCACCTGCAATATAAAAAATAAAAATACAATTAATATAAATTACAGCTGCTACCTTTTACAAGGGATTTGCTGTAAAACTCCAAGTGTTGATAAATGACAATAAAGAACGTTTTCTTTTTGAATTAAATAACTCATTAGCTCTTCTAACTAAACAAAGAAAACTGCAATATAACCTTAAAAATTAAATTACAATACCATTTCTTTAGTGTGTTCCCTGATGCTATTGATAATGGCAGTAAATCCAAGAAAACAGAAATAAATTTCCATTTCATCTCCGTCGATACAATCCAAAAACACCTTAGCAACATCATGAAGGCTTTTACGCAGTGAAGAGTCTCTCTTGATTTCTGAAAATCTCCCCTTTTCAAGGCCGTACATGTACACAAGGTTCTCAATGGGTGAGATTGGACTACCTCCAGTTACTCTATAAGACGCAGGTGGTGGAATGTGTACAGCGTTCAATACTGAGAGAGAATGCTTCAAGTCTTGGAACTGTTCAATCTTCTGGTCTCTTACATATTTCTGTGTCTCTGGGTCTTGATGACAAGGGACAGCACCTACAGTAGATGTACTAGTTATGAGATGCTTAAGATTTTTAAATTTCAAAAATAACATCATTAAAAGTACAGGCAAGGTATGTCCCATAATAAAGCCAATGTTTTGTCAATGTATTCATAATCTATTGTGTGATTGATTTCCTGCAACCCAAGTCTCTCTAAGGCTATAGCAACTCCTCTATATCTCACTTACCAAGTAGTATCTTCCATACTAGTGGCCTGTATAAAGCAGGGAGTGAGTTTTTCAGGCAAAATGCCTTCAATCTTGGCAAATCTGGTGATAATTAATCAAAATTTTAAAATACTGTCTTTACAAACCTATCAAATCTGCTTTCAATTGGTTTTCTAGCTGACTGATTGATTTCTCATTCTCTCTAAACCCCAGAGTCTCGTAATATGCACTCCTAAAGTTCTTCCCTATTCCTTCTTCAGTCATTGGTGACCACGCCCAGCCACGCCCACAAACATTACAAGCAATGAGCTCCACCTATTTTTGCTGCATTCTTTCTTTTCATTATAAAAATAGCAAAGCAGAAGCAGAGCGGATTAAAAATTCACGAGTATGACTGGACTAGCAATAGCAGTTTTAATTTGCCTTCCTTTAGTCCACTGTAAGTAACATAAACTGACTAAAGTCCTCATGTTATTTGTTAATAGGTTGCACGAGTGGTGAGCTACAGCTTGTAAATGGAGACGTCCCAGAGCAAGGTCGTGTTGAAATATGCATTAATGGTACATGGGGGACTGTCTGTGATGATCATTGGAATCATTCTAACGCTCAAGTTGTATGCAGACAGTTGGGATATCTCAATGCAGGTACTAAACTAGTTCACACAGCAACAGAAACAATTGTAGGTTTGATAAACTAAGCCAACTCCAATAAATTTGCTTATTTCATTAGATTTATTTGATATCACCTGCATAAATTGTGCATATATATACATGTATGTATATATATGAATTGAATTGGAGTGACATAATTTGTATTTTCATACCTCTATGTAGGACCTAGATTTTACAGTGACGCATATTTTGGAGCTGGTACAGGTAAAATATTTCTAGATGATGTTCGCTGTGC